GTGTGTGTGTGTGTGTGTGTGTGTTTATATAGGTATACCTTTCAGCAAGGTTATAATAGATACGCATTTTTGGTGCTGTTTTTTTGTTATCTCTGTTTCTGTAGGTGTGCAGCCAAGCTATCGAGTGTGTTGTCTTGTGTTTTCTCGAAACATATTTCACATATCTTCTAATCTCTCTTTCACTCTTTCCCATTAAAAAATAAAAAAATAAAAAATAAAAACCTGCAATAAAATAACTCTGTTTTTATCACTTTTACGGTGGATTGCATTAACTCTGTTACACTATACAAAAGAGAAAATTCACCAAAGTGAAACGTAAATCTGTGGATCTGTGTTTGATTACTCTGGCTGGCTTTGTCGAGGACCAGGATGTGTGACACAAAAATCTGAATTTTGGAACTGAAATTGAATTATAGGACAGAAAGTGAAAGTGGACAAATTGAAATTTAATAAACCAAAATACATTTTCAAAGCAAATTAATACAGACAACAGAACAAAACTTTAAATTCAATTTCAATTTAGTAAAATTCATTTTCAAACCAATGCATTCAATTTCAAATTATGCAAATTCAGATTCAATCTGAGCAATTCAAATTCAGTTCCTGCTGGCACAAGATTTATCCCACAGCTGTGGTCTACTTTTGGATCCCTGACTTGGTGCCTACATGTAGGAATTTACCCCAGTAGATGAGAGGTTAGCCTCCCTGCACCTTCAGGTGGGGAGACAGGCACCAACGGTCATTTGTGCCTATGCACCAAATGATTCCTCGGAGTATCCAGCCTTCTTGGAGTCCTTAGTGGGGGTGCTGGAAGGTGCTCCAGCTGGGGATTCCTTTCGTCTGCTGGGGGACTTCAATGGCCATGTGGGTAACAACAGTGAGAACTGGAAGTGTGTGATTGTGAGGACCGGCCTCTCCGATCTGAACCCAAGCTGTGTTCTGTTGTTGGACTTCTTTGCTAGTCACAGTTTGGCCATCACAAACACCATGTTTGAACACAAGGGTGTCCATGAGTGGACCCTAAGACACCCTAGGTCGAGGATTGATGATTGACTTGTGTCTTCTGATCTACGGTCATATGTTTTGGACACTTAAATGAAGAGAGACCAACACCTGGTAATGAAATGGATCAGATAGAGGGGGAAGACGCTGGACAGACCCAGTAGACCCAAAAGTGTAGTGCGGGTTTGCTTGGTAAACCTGTCAGAAAGATCTTCAAGTCAAACAACTTCCAACACGTCCCAACCAAGGCAGGAGACATTTATTCTGAATGGGCCATGTTCCGTGCTTCAATTGTTAAGGCAGCTGCCTTGAACTGTGGCTGCAAGATTGTCAGTGCTTCTCGCTGTGACCATCCTCAGACTCAGTGGTGGACACATGGCCGTTGCCAAGGCAAAAGCTTTGATGTGGGAGGAGTTCGGTGAGGCCTTGGACAAGGACTCTCTATCAGAGTCAAGGAGATTCTGGCAAATCACCAGTTGCTGAGACAGAAAAGGCAGCACTTTAATAACACTGTGTTCAGTGAAGGTGGGGTGCTGTTGACTTCAACCAGTGATGTTTTCGTGAGGTGGAAGGAATACTTCTCCAACCTTCTCAATCCTGCGGGCAGGTCTTCTATGGAGGAAGCAGAGTCTTGAGGACTCTGGGGTTTGTCTGTTCATAATTGGGACTGAGGTTGCCGAGATAATTAAAAAGCTCCATGGCGACAAAGCGCCGGGGGTGGACGAGATCCCCCTCCCCCAGTTCTGGATGTGGGGCTGTCTAGGTTGACACATCTTTGCAACATTGCATCAACATCAGGGGAAAGGCTACTAGGGTGGTGGTTCCCTTTATCAAAAAGGGGTACCAGAGGGTGTGTTCCAAAAATTGGGGCATCACTCTCCTTAGCCACCCCTGTAAGGTCTTTTCAAGGGTACCAGATAAGAGAGTCCCATCAATGGTTGGACCTCAGATTCAGGAGGAACAATGCAGACCATGCCCTGACCATGGAACACTGGACCAGCTCTTTGCCCATACTAGAGGTCATGGGATATTGCCCATCCAGTCTAAATGTGCTTTGGGAACTTGGAGAAGGCATTTGACTGTGTTCCTCGATATACACTGTGGGGGACACTACGCAAAAGGGGATCGTGGGTCCATTGTTATGGGCCATTCAGTCCCTGTACAAGTGGTGCGAGAGTTTGGTCTGCATCGCTGACAATATCTCGCAGTCCTTCAGGGTTGTAGTTGGACTGTGTGCCAGGGCTGCCTGTTGTCACCGATTATGTTCATAATTTTATGGACAGAATTTCTTGGTGCATTCAGGGGCCAGATCAAGTCCAGTTCAGTGTCCTCAGGATTCCACCTCAGCTATTTGTGAATGATGTGGTCCTGTTGGCATCATGGTACTGTGATCTTCAGCTCTCTATCAAGTGTGAAGCAGCTGGGATGAGGATCAGCACCTCCAAGTCTGAGTCCATAGTCCTCAGTCAGAAAAGGTGGATTGCTCTCTCCGGGTTTGAGGTAAGATTCTGCCTCGTGGGGGAGTTCAAATATCTTGGGGTTTTGTTCATGAGTGAGGGAAGAATGGAGCATGAGATTGATAGATGGATTGGCGCAGCATCTACAGTAAACTCTGTCTGTCATAGTGAAGAGGGAGCAAAGCTGTCTGTTTACAAGTGGATCTACATCACTGGCCACAACCGTGACTGGAAGAATGAGATTGTGGATACTAGCGATCAAAATGTATTTTCTCCACAGGGTGGCTGGACTCTCTCTTAGAGATAGGGTGAGTTCAGTTATCCAGGAGAGACTCAGAGTAGAGTCTTGTTCACCAAGTAGGCATATTTAATTTTATTTACCTAAATGTGTATGTGATCTGACCAGAAGTTAAGTTACTAATGTAAACTTTTTAATTTAAAATTAGCTTATAAAGCAGATGCAATCTCTGCTAATTATTGAATTTGCTAGAAGATTGTAGCAGAATGTAGCACTTTGTTAAATCAAATTTATGTAATATTTACAGTGTGAAATAATATTTTACATTTGACAATTTTTAGGTTTCTATTAGAAAAGCCTCACCTGTCGAGATGTCTAGCCAATTAGTAGAGACAAGTTTCACTGGAAATGCAGTGAACTTTATGTAAGTGTTGACTACAGAACAGATGAATAATAATAAATAAGGTATAACTAGTTAATTTCAGAAATATTTAACCAAAGCTTAAAAATTTAAGTTATTAACTGACTTTGGGTCTAGTTAGGATCATTTCTTATAACATTACTTATAAACTTGGCTATTTTACATGAATGTCAGATGAAATTAACATTAATTGTCAATTGTATTATTTTGCTGTGAAAAGATAAATAATTTGTAACACAGATCCAGTTGGGTTTGCTGTAAATCAAATAACTGCTTTGTTGCCTGTGAGCTATTTATTGCCCTGTTTGGACGCCATCTTTTCTCCTCTATGTTGTCAAAAATTGTAAGCAGCAGGCATGATAAGTTGGGCTCCCTCTTGCTGTATTATTTACTCTATGACTCAAGTAGAACAGAAAATTAATTAAAAGCGAAAAAAGGCAAAAAATATTTGTGTGAACAAGTTATCTTTGAGCAACAGTATAATAATGTTAGTACTGACTCGTCCAACTGCAGTCTCCCAGCAGGGTCCTCTGATTACATCAGCTGGGTCAATCACTAGAGGAGGCACATCTGTTGTGTTGTAGAAGGAGCTGTAGTTGGCATAGTACTCACTCAAAGCCCACTCTGTGGCATTCTTTATTGTTTTTTCTTCCTCCAGCTGAAAATACAAATCATGCTCAGTTCAAAGCAACCAAGACTTGATTGATGCAGCTGAGTTCAGACGTGTAAAAACAATGACGCTGAAATGTATAGACAATTAGATTTTATAGGTTTTATTTTATGGGTGGGAATACTTGTAAAAAACTTGTATGGACATAATTAAACAAAGAACTTGATGTCCAATGGACATCAAGTTCAAGGGAACTTGGAAGCCTTGGATAAAGTCTCTCAATTGACTCCTTGCAGATTCTGGCAAACCATTAGGTGGCTAAGGCGAGACGTGGAAAAAAAATACTTCGTGGACATTTTCACTCCCACTGGCACGTATGGAGGAGGTGGGGGACTTTCGGCTTGGTTTGTCTATAACTGGGGCTGGGTGGCCGAGGTACTTAAAACGGTTTGCGGTGGCAGGGATCTGGGGATGGATGAGATCTGCCCTGAAGGCTCTAGATGTGGTGGGACTGTCTTCTTTGACACACCATTGCATGGACATTGCAGAGCCCTGTTGTGGCTCTGCAATGTTGTAGTGCTCTGCCAGTATGGGATTGTGGGTTCATTGTAATGGGCCATTCAGTACTTGTGTGAAAAATAAAATGGTAAATGGTAAAAATGTTGTGAAAGTTTGGGCTGAATTGCCAGCAAGTTGGACCCCTTCAGGGTGGGAGTTGGATTCTGCCAAGGCTACCCCTTGTCACGATTCTATTCATGAATGGAATTTCTTGGTGCAGCCAGAGGGCAGAGGGAGTCCAGTACAATGGATGAATGGATATTTTCAAAACTGAATCCCTGTTCAGTTTTTCTGACATTTTGTAATTGTTAATTTTTATGCTGTCTTGGAATAATAATGTTTTATCCTCTAGTCTAAACTGACAAAGTAAACATGAATTTTGTCACAGACGTAGGGTATGGACCCAAATGCCAGACTAGGAGTGGGGCTGGTGGGATATTTTAAAAAGTTTAATACAAATAAAAAGAGAGCTACAGAAGCAAAATGACCAAGACAAGACAGAATATGTAAAAGTATAGAGCTGATTCTTCATTATGTTTTGTTCTTCCCTTAACCTTTACTGTGATCAGAAGCATTTTATGAACAGACTGAGTTTACGAGGGGAAAAAATGTGAAAATAATTGACTATAAAACAGCAGCATTGGTCTTGAAAATACATTCAGCAGTTCTGTATCTCACATACCTTTTCATTGACCTGATCAAAGAGGGCAAACAGAAAGGTGTACAAATTTCCAAGGAAGAGGGCAAATATTCGTAACAGCTGCCACTTCAGGGCAATACGAGGATGATAATCCTCCAGCTCTGCGATGGCCTCAAACAGAGGAGGACACACAAGTCCCAGCAGAGACATGACAAAATCCACCTGATATGACATACGAGACAGGTTATTTACTGCTTTCACCTCTTACTCTCACTTTATTATCTTTAAATGTTCAGTGTTGTAAACTTGCCTCATTGCTTTGAAACCAGGTCAGTGTTTGTGGATCCAGTTTAGCAAACTCTTGAGACTGTTTTACTGCATAGTAGATGAGATAGCCACTGCCACCGAGGCAGCAAAGGATCATAAAGTTTGCCAAAACCCTGAGGAAACGTCTGAGATGGATGTTTTCATCTTTCTGGTTTTCTTGTTCGTCCACAATAGATTCCTGCAGCACAGGTTTAAAAAATCAGTCAAATAAAATAAATGTTCTACAGCAGTGGTTCCTATTTTGCTAAAAGATCCCCTTTTGTTTACCTCAAAGCCAAGATGAGCCCCTACATCCCTCACAACTCCCCACCTCTCCCAAAGATGTGGTCAAATTTTATCCCTTTATCAAAACACTAAAAGAATAAAGTTACAAATATTTATTTGGAAAATAAAAAGATTGTACTGAGTTACGCAGAATTTTTATTCATACAGGGTTAATGACCCCACTGTGCTCTATGGCGACCCCCCCCCC